GCCACAACAACCTCTTAAAACACTTTACTACATCACTCCGTCCAATTACCTCAACTCACCCCAGGCACCTTCTACTAACTATTACCTTCCGCCACACAATAACCCAACCACTCACCTGCAACTCATTCGCGCGGTTCTCAAGCTCACGTGCGACATTCTGCGCCTGCGTCACTTCGCCAACAAGTTCATCGTAGTCACTCTTGCTAACCATGGTCGCTTGAAGAGTAGCTATTGATTCCGCGTGCTTTCTGTACGCCGATTCCAACTCCTCCGACAACTGCACATACGTCTTCTGAAGCTCGTCATTTGCACTCGTCAACTGGCTGCAGCGCGACTCGTACTCTGCCACTATTGCTTCGTGTTCTCGCAAGGAGATGGTCTTCACTTCCTCCTCAAGCGCTTCCTCCACTTCGCCTGCTTCGGTCTCATCCGCCCACTCACTGTGCTCATCTCTCACTTTTGAAAACGACACGTGCATTTCACGACGTTGTGAATAATCCCTTCTATCGCCATCATCAACAACGTAGTCGAATTTGTCTGGTCCGTTGAGAGCCATCAGCACTTCTGCCGCCACCTTCACCGACCACTTGTCCACAGCGTCTTGGATCCTTGCAACCTAACATCCAAAACACAACCAGTTCGGTTACCTGCATAACCAAAACTCCAACACAAGTCACGACCTCACAATGTCTCTAACGCCACAGCAGTCAAATCACCGATTCATCCACTGAGAGACTCACACACACACTCAACAATGCCCACACAGAACAGTCTAGCTTCATTCTCCACATCATTGAGGCCAGTAAGACAACCACACATTTCCACTACCCCATCACCTCACATGCCAACATCTCACTCTCTCGTGTTCTCTGGCCTCCACACAGCCACTTCTACTTCCACAACTGTGACCTACGTCATCTACTCAAGCACACTTGTCAAGTCGACCGCACAAGAAAAAGCACAAATAACACAAAGTGACGTTAAGTAAACCTGACCTACCGCCACTGACACACGGTCGAACACGCGCCGATTGTGGTCCTCCACACGCGACACATTCAACCGACCACCGACCAAACTCTGACACCCCGTTCGCACAGAAGAAACATCAAGTGAGTCATCAACGTCTCCACGTGACGCCTCTGTATCTCCACCAACGTCCAGGCGAAGATTGCCCATGGTTGTGTCGTTGCATGTTGACAGCAACAACGACTCTGCATGCTGACTTACGACGACTGACTGGCAGGCAACACAGTCCGTCTCAGTCACCACGTCGTCGCCTACACAAAACCAAACCATTCCACTTATTGCAGTGACTCAATACCCTCACCACAACACCCACAGTCTACGCCTCTACTGCCTACCAACTATTTCACAAACCACACCACCTAGCCTCTGACGAACAAAACACCTCCTTAGGACAAAACTCACGACAAAAATACCCAATCAGTGCTCAGCACTGCTACTCACGCTTGAACTGTTCTCCTGTGTCGCAGTAACTGAGTACCTCTCAAAAATCGTGGCTTAGTAAACTAGAAAAATGGGCCCATTACACACTCCAGTACGCAAAACCTACTCGAATTCTAAACAAACATAGCATTCAGCGAACAATCTAACCATCACAATCATGGCGCCGATTTTTTTTAATTCACATTAACTCCTCTCCGGGTTACTTACCGTCTTTGCTTCTGTCGCAATCACGTTCGGCAGGCCACTTTGTGCACCTCTCTCCTACACCACCGCTGCCCTCGCAGCCGACGTCACCACCACCAAACGAGCCATTGTGTGTTGGGTTCCGGCCGTCACAGGCAAACGACCACGTCTGCTGCGTGCCACATTCAACTTCACTTGAAATGCTGACCATCAGACTGCGATTGGCAGTTTCTCTGAAGGAGCGCTACACAACAAAGGCAGAGTTTTGTGAGGGTGTTTCTTTCAATAACCAGGTCCTGCCTAACGTACACTTTTGATACCACAAAACAGCTACCACCACACAACTCCTCTGCACACCAACTACTCCAATCTCCAATTCAATGACAGTAAAAGGCAAACGATTCCTCGTAAAAGGCAACTTGTACTAACCTGTATGGTGCGAATACTGTCGAACTGCGTCAGAAGACTCTTTATGACTGAGTGAAGCTCTTTCAGTCTTTCCAATGACTGAACTGAGCCTCTTCGACTGACGGCAACCGAACATACGCACATCTCCTTCGCCTTCTCATCACCACCACCTTCGACCACACCCACAGCTTCATTCATGCTCTGTGATGGTGCTGAAGTCGCCACCGTGTTGGGCAGATTGCATGGCCGAGTGACTGACGGCGCCTGCTGAGGAAAACAGAAAGCAGTCAGCAACAACTCGACCCACTTCCCACCTTAAACACCCACGCACACCTCCACTACCACTAATACTACGACGGAATACGCCATCGCCGATGGTCTAACATGATGTCACTTCACCAACACCACTCACCAAACTGACCATAACCACACACAATACCACATCAACAAATACCGCCGCGGTCCATGCATCTCAACAACCTCCCACACCAACTCACCTCCAACGCCGAAATCTCGCATTCCAGTCGCTCAAGCGTTGTATGAAGTTCGTGAACTGTCTTCTCAAGAACTTCGCCTGGCTCCCCGCGAGTCATCGACCTCTCTGCCAATCCGCAATTCGTATCATTCAAACCACCGCCACCAAATGTAAAACTTCCCAAGTCCACACGCGAAGCGTTTGCAACACCCGCATCTATTCAATTCGCAAAAAAAGATAACCCTGTTACAACAAGCAACCAACAATTCTATATACAAAGACTACTCGAACTACAGTCTCGCTAAGCCTAGCCAACGCAATGAAGTAACCAACACATCCCACAGTCACATCCCCTCACCACACACCACACCACACCACTCTTACCGCATGCGCACAGGCACAGTGCACATCTCGCTCCACCACTCGACACTCACTAAACCACACAAGTTGCTGGTTTACACTGACAACACGACCCAAACACGATTGCCTTCACAGCGCTACCGCCCCACACCCACACTCACTCCACCAACTAAGGTGACGCCCCACTAACCCACTTATACCGCGCACACCAGTCTTCTCCACAGCCAATCAACACATCCTAGTATCGACTCACAAGCACTCCAACTCCACTATCTTACCATTCGAAGTACGGTTTAGTGACTGCGACAGATTTACGGGTGCTTTCACAGAACTACTAGCAAGTGCCTTGTAAGCCGTCTTCAGTCGCATGTTTGTCTTCACTTGAGCCATCAGCCTACTCCGCAGATTTACCACCTCGTTTTGAAGTCTCGCCACTTCTCCCGCTTGTGTCACAACCTGGATGTTGGCAGGATTCTAAAAGGCAAAAAAATAACAAACAACAACAACACCACCACCACATCAACACACCACAAGGCTGGTGCAAACACGGCACTACCTCAACGCTTGTGTTGAAAACGCTAGAAGACTCGTCGTGCGATATTTGTGTGGCCTCTCCAAGAGGCATTGTCTCGTCGATGGGATGCAACATTTGTGGCGCTTTCGTCACGCAACCGTCACCCTCCCAGTGCGCCTTCACACTACCCCGAGGCTCGTCACCACCACCGTTCGTCATCGAGATTAACTCGTAAATCGCTCGCTCGCGGTCTTGAAGAATCTACAAGGCGAAACACAACTACCTACATTAAAGCCTAGAAAAACAAGAACCTCATGCCTCCACTATCTTCACACCTTGTCAAACGTCCGCAATTGACAGACATGCTCCCTCTTAATTCTTTCGTTATACTCTTTCAACTGATTAACTTCAGTCAACAAAGAGTCACATCGTCTAGCCTCGCAATCTCGGTCACCTAGAAGGTCGGCAACCCGATCATGCAGGGCCTGCACGTCATTCGTATGGGAAGCCTTCTCCTCCTCCAACTGTTCTGTCACCAAACTCAGCTTCGCCTGCGATGCAGCAAGCGCCTGCTTACAAACCGCCAGCTCTCGAGTCAAGCCAATGTTGCGGTTGGTAAGTTCTTCAGTGATGAGTCGGGCGGCATTATGCCGTCGCACCAACCCAGTGTACTCTCGTTTTTGTGGTGACTTGATCGGTTCTGACATGGTTTTAGGCGAACTTGGACGACTGGAGACCACATTGAGGGGAAGCAGCCCAGGTGACTCACACGCAACTCTCAACGGACTGTTCTCCTTCTCAGCACTTTGTAAAACAACTTTTTCCCGAGAAATCGAGTCCACCTCCGCCTCCAAACTCGCGATCTTCGACTCGGCATCAGACAGCTGCTTTTGTAGACACGACACTTCACTACAAACATCAACAACACAACCTTTAAGCCCGAACTCAACTACTATTGCTACTGCTACTACTAGTAGTGCAAACGTAAGCACAAACTCACGCTTTCTGAGCGGCCTCGCGTCTAAACGACTCGTTCTCAACCAGTTCACATTTGCTCTCAGCCTCACGTCGGGACACCCTCAGAGAATGCAGCTCCTCAGCCAACTTGTCATACTTCTGCCTCCACTCTACCACAATTGCCTCATCTTGCATTTTCACCTTACCTCTTTCCGACGACTCGAACTTTACAATCCACTCATCGCGATCTGCCCGAATTTGCTCGTTCTCATTTTTCAATGATGTGAGCAGTTTCCTACACAACACAATAATCCCAACTATAAAAACCTACGAGGCACAGCTCAGAAGATTCGACTTTTCTCTCAACTGCTCTGACAACTGCAAATTCTCGCTCTCGAGGTCCGTTATGCGCTACAAACCATCATCACCAATCACCACCTTACCAAGACTGGGTCTTCCGAGAGGCCCTTCTCGTAAATCTTTCGGTAGTTGTGACACAAGAGCCGCAAGTTAAAGTTGTCCCGTCGCAGTCTTGTGATCTCCTACGCAAACATTACTACATTGCCACATTACCTCCGATTCATCAGTAATTGTCCTTACGCCTCTCTCTGGGGATACCACTGATTCAGCACGTGCTTCTTCATGATTTCCTGTCATAAATGTCACACTACAGAACAGCGTAAGTGAACACAAAGACCTTACTCGTTGTCGTCATTCAAAGTAGATGCAGACTCCATCTTACAACAACCAACTGCGACAACAACTAACGCCTCAACTAAACGCGACTCCACACGCTTCAAGTTTATTCGTCCGTATCAGCCAATGGACGTCGAAGTTGGCCACAACGAATGCTGCTGATCGGTCTCCAGAAGACACTTTTACAAGTCTAGGTGTATTTCAATTAACGACACAATTTCCTACTGGTACCACCAATCTTTTCACCCCTTTCAAACCTTAAGGCCTTACAGATTTAAGCGAGCAAAGCACACTAGCAGATGTCCAATAGAAAGCCGCCATTGAAACGCCATCGCCTTGACTGTTGTGATTCACATTGAGCGCCGAAAACAGAGTAGGGAGAAGTCGCTGCAATGAAGTTTGCTACATCAATTGGATTAAATGGTAACATTCAAGAACATGAAAATTTAAATTGTTATCACCTGGAAATCCAATTGTGGTCCCTTATTAAACGATTGGTAAATAAAAAAGATAGTAAAATGGGAAGCAGAGAATTAGTTGATTACAATTCAAGTGCATGAAAGTCGAAATTTGTTGTTCGCTCTAAAGTTAAGTGTTGCTTTTATCAAACCATTAGTAATTACAAAGGCAGCTGATACGAAAAGTCAACATTTAGCTGTTTAAAAAACAGAAATTTGAAAAGCAGAACCGCCTGTGATCTGAAAATAATTGTGCATGACTTATTAGTGAATGGTCCCCGTTGAGTAAATGAGGTTGCAACGGGAAATCGAACATTTAGTGATTCTGTTGTCAAAGGAAATAAACCACTGTTTGAAGCCTAAATAAGTGAATATGTTGAACTGCATTGAGAGAATACGTATATCGAAGTAATATGGATAATCCATGCATTTTAACTATCTAACACGCTAAACTTAGCACAAACAAATACAATTTTAAAGAAGATGAGATTTCAGTTCCGATAGTTGCTTTATTTTAATAACCAAATCTCATTTAGCTTGACATGTTTGATGTATGCATGGCAAATCATGCAGTGATTATGATGATGATGAATGGCAGGGATGTTGCGACGATTAGCAAGCACGACACGTTCGCATGTTATTGAGTCCGTAGTGCTGTGTCTGGTTTTAATAGAGGTTCCAACTAGCCAATAGTAGATGTCTGAGAAGGATAAAGTGGAGTCGAGACGAGACAATGCAAGAGGGAAATAGTGCGTTCAATATAAAGACGTGGCATATTGTCACTGGGAATGTTGTTGTTGTTGTTGTTGGCGTTAAGTGGGAGTAGTATGAGCATGGCTGCGGTGTAGGCTTGTTGATGCCGAGAAGAGCATGTCAAATCCAATACAGTGTTTTGCTGATTGATTGCGTGTTTGGTTGAATGAGGCTGCGTTGTTGGCGGTAAATTTGGTGAATGCAGTGATGAGTGTTGTCAGTAATTTGCGCTTTCTTTTGCAGAGAACGGCACTGGCATTGTGACCATCAACAAAGACAACCAAACAAGTGGCACCCCAGGCAACTGCGCGAGATGACCTTGCCTTTCTATAAGTGATTTGTACGCGAGTTTGCCTGAGTGACTATTTCTGCTATGGATGATGTGCGCATTGATTGGTGCTGTTTGTAAATATCTGTGTTTTTATCTACCTGTAAATAAAGTAGTTTGTTCTCGTGAATGTGTATTTGGGCGTTAGAGCTGAGTAGTGAAGGTGTAGAAGCAAGCAACGCTTGATGGTGTGTGCGGGTTGAAATCGCAAATGGCGTTGGAGGTGAAATAGTGTTGATTGGATAGTGTGAAGAATTGCACCAATGCTGGTGGAGCGTTAGAGCGTGAGCGAGATAGGTGCCGAGGTTGTCGGGTGGAAGGTGGATGGATGGCCAGGTGAAACGCCACTATTGGCGTCATCTTAGTAGTGATTTGTTTGGTTCACTTCGTGTTTTGAGAAGTACATTTGTCGAATGTGTTTTGCTCGAGGAATATGGACATGCCTGGTCTTCTGTTGTGGGTTATTTTCAAAGCTCACTTAATTATAGATGCTCTTAATGTAGCAGAGTGTTCTTACTGATTGTGCGTAGTTTAAATTTCGATTGTCCTAGTAACGGGCCACCCTCTTCACGCTGTCTCTGACTGCCAATCCATCTTGTGCATCCTCTTCTTGCTTTGTTGGCGTCATTTGTATTCTTAGTAGCTTTATCTGTTCATTTTCTGTGATTCTGTTTTCAATGAATGTGGTCGTCATGCTTGGCTATACTTCTATTTATCTGGTTGACTATTGTGATTGTGAATGCTTGATTTTTGCTAAGCCTTTTTCCTGTCACTGGTGCATCAAATTGTCATCGATTTAATAAAAGTTTTTAACAATTTAAGTGGTAGAAAGATTTGCATTCTAAAAACTCCAATTTAGTTAGATTCAGCATTTCGTGCATTCTACACGGCTCTAATATAACTCGTTGCTTGTGATTATAAGTTATTTTCAAAACGGCTATCTGATTTTACCATGAACTGACATTTTCTTCCTCGTTTTACTACGGAATATGTCCATCTTGAAACGTGCTTCGTTGCAAACACATTTTGAGTATATGTAATATTGACCCTTTTGTTTCCCTGACACCATGTATTTGCGCATTAGGCCTCTGTTATATTTTAGTTTATTTTATTTTCCAATTAATCTTCAATCCATTAAATTTGTTTTTGTGTGTTTTAAGTGTGACTTATCATCAATAAAATATATATGCTGTGGTTTGTGTGTGGTTTTAAGAAAAGCACGTTGAAATATAATATATGTGCATCTTAATTTGTAATATTTTTTTAGTCTGTTGATGAATTAACCTAACACATTTAACAATTTTTTTTGCAAAAATATTTATGTGCATTATTTGAACTATAAGCATTTGTCCTTAAAAATTGACATGTTTTGACAGCCAATGTTATATTTCTCTTGTGTTAATTAGGACTGATTTCGATGGTGCTAAGGATATTGCGCTGTGCTTAAAAGGCGACCTTGAGAACGCAAACCTAGAAGTTGGGTGGTCGTGTTCTGTTGATTGCTAATGCTTTTGGAGTGATATTTTAATCAACACGTTATACTTAGATTGGAGGAATGTCAGGCAAAGGTTTCCGGTCTGATATGCAACTGAACGAGCGTATAGCTGCAATCCGTGAGAACAACGACCGAATTGAAAGTAGGCATCGGGTAACGTGTTTCTGTCATAGTTTAATGTTCTAGGAAATAGAATTGGACAAGAAACGTGCAGCTGACACCGGTAGTTTGATTCTTCCTTCACAAATCCGGGTAGGCTTTTTTGTGTATTACAATAACTTCAGGTGACGATTACTCGCTCTGAGGCACGCAGTAACCACAGTGGATTTTATGATAACGGTCGGCCTAAAGGAAAGGCAAGTATACCTATTTCGAGTATTGGTTGTAAAGCAAAGCATTTTGATTTCACCTTGGGTAATTGTTTGTGGTTTGAAGATTTTTGGTATGCTTATAAGAACTAAATTCAGCTTTGCCTTATGCGTGAAAATAGAACAATGTGACTTGCAAAGCAACATTTGTTGATTGTAATTGAATGGAACCAGGATATCTTGTTAATCGCTATTATTTAAACTTCCAGCAACGAAAACCTGACTTCCAAATCCGTGGAGGTGACCTTAGAAATAACTTATCCAAAAGCTTGTAAGTTTGTGAATTTGAAATCGGTTGTTTTGAAGTGCTCAGCTTTATCATTCCTAGCAGGAATAAATGTTCAAGGTGAACTTATGACGTTTTTATAGGTCTCGCCTTCATCAGGATTCGACCTACAACTATCAGCCCCAATTCTCTGGCAACCGTTCGAAATGTTCTGGGGTTGCTTCTGGTGGTCATGCACGTGAAGCCGACGGCTTTTCAACAGAGTATTTCCGCTTTGTGGAAATCGACCACCAGGTTGGAAGGAAAAAACCTCAGAGGCAGCAACGGAACCAAAACAATCGCACGAAATTTGGTATGACACGTATATCTGATGTCTTTTCATAATCTATGCAAAAGGGTTTCTTGTGTGTAGCCTAATACATCTTGAGACCATAATTTTTATCCTAATTTGCCCTGGATAACTCAACCCACTGCACGTGCACTCGTTTGTAGACTGATGTTAGATCTTGCTTGATTGAAACCACGTGTTTCAGTTCATCGGTGAAATGTAGAGTTCCTGTTCACAACTTATTGTACTGTGTATTCCTTATCAGTTGGTGAAATTAGTGTTTGTTCTCCACTGCAGACCCGATTGTCAACTGTTTTGCAGATCTTAGGTTATGAATTGATAAATTCAGACACATGCGATAAAGCCATGCAAAGTCTTGATTCATGTAAACTATTTTTTTATTACGTCATGTTAAATGCTTTTGGCTTTGTGTCACACGACTTGTTAATTCTCCGTGCCCATCGCTTATAATTGGGTCTGACTTCATTAAAAGTATGCTAATTAACAATTTTAAATTCTAATCATAAACACTGGCAATTGTCGTTCCACCTTTGTACTCTAGCTTCACGGTTATGCCTTTAGTGGATGATGCTAAATTGTCGTTGCATAGAAACTTCCAAATTGGTGTGTAAGTGGCTAGCACGTTTTACTGATACTGTGGAGAGGATGATTCAAAATGTAGTTTTCTTTGAAGGAATATTTTTGCCTCAATTTTCGCCTTTTGTGTGGTTTGTGCCAAGCAAAACACCACTGCAATGAAGGGCGATGTGCCAATAGTGAATTGCATCATCACTAAAAACAAACGCGTGTTTAATTTGTGATCGAAAACGGCCCAAAATGATGGCTCTGCCTCGTCATGAACTGGTAAAGATTCTCCGCTTCCACGTAGGTCACAGTTTCTGTCGCAATTTCTGGCTTATTCTGGAAATGTTTGCTGCCTCACCTCACACTTTTGTTTCCCTAAAATAACTTGCTCTAAATTCCTTTCCCATCAATCAATCATAAAGCTTGCGAAAAAATGGTTAAAACCAGTGGCTTAAGGTGAAAGCGTGATTTGTAATTTGTAACAATGTAGAGTCAGCGCAGCAGCACAGCTCAATCGCTTGTAGGTCACGGAGGCTTCGTGTGTAGCTGCCGCTGAACCGGATACAGTCGTACGACAGTCCACAGATCAGTGCAGATCATTTTGGCAATCTTCGCAACATCGTGTGTGTGTGTGTGTGTGTGTGTAAGCCTGCTTGCGTGCGCCATGTGCACCCGTTTTTGTCCTCCAGTGTGTGCGTGTGTGTGTGCTGGCGTGTGGGTGGGTGGGTGTGTGGACTAGTGTTGATGTGTATACCCTGTGTACAATCACGAATCAGATATCATAACCCCCACTTTACTTTAACTACAAAAATTCGCGATGTTGAGTGTAAGACAATTCAGTGGGTGATAGTAATTGTCCCCCACTAAAAGACCTCTCATACGGTGAGGACTGCAAGCCCATTTCGAGCTTATTAAAATTCGCGGTTTTTCGTGAAGCGACACAGCAGAAATCAGGACAAATTAGCCGCTCTTTGGTGCATTAAAACAGCCGTCTTGGTGACCGGCGCACGCATAAACGGAAGTTGACTCTGGCCACGGTGGCCGCGCTCTGGTTTTCTGTCGTGCACATTATGACAGACCCCCTAATTGACATGGCAGTTAGATGACGCGATGGTAGTTAATTGTCAATAATTCTTGAACGTTGCAACCATGAAGACGAGATGTCAAAAAGGCAATAGACTAGTCGAAACGCGTTTGTCTTCAGAACGGTGCTTTTTGTTACATTCCGTGGGAACGGAATGGAGAGCTCGTATCGACTTCCACACGAAGGCGCTCCAATTCACTTCTCACACGAATCGCTTAGCGTTGCCCGCGTACGTGGGGTTGAGTCTGCTTTTTTTGCCAAGTCAAGGCTGTTCGACCGTTAATGTGTTTGTTTATCATGCTGGTTGCTTCATTGTGTGATCGCTTCAACGCGTGCATGTTCGCACCTGGCCTTCACGTGACCTCGCTCGGGCGTTCATTGCGCGCGCCAAACTTCAAAATCCACTTGCTGCCTTTAATTTGTTCTCGTCGCTGCTCCAAACTTCCGTCTGTTTTCTACGCCCAAATGCACACCGGATTGTGGTTTGATTCCCTAACCTATCAACTTTCAAATGATTCAGAGCCCTTTCTAAATCGGTGTCATCCTCGTGCGTGATCAGTTAAGGTGGCATTTTACTGTGACTGTTTTCCCTTCCCACGCTCAAAGCCTACCATTTCCTGCCAAAATCCAATCGCTACCTGGTGTCTTCAGATGCGCTGGCTGATGATGCTTCACTAATTTCGAAACACGTCTCATTGGTCAGGCCAAGTCCCTGCTTGCGATGCGCTTGTTTCACCTCGACTGCGGCTACAGGCCCGAATTCCGTTCTAGAAGACGCTTCGTTTAGCACGAATTTAGCTTGCATGTTGAGAGGTATATATTTAATCCCGATAGCAGCACTTGTCAAATGAGAGTTACCTTCAATGTGCTTACAATGCATTGGGATCCCAAATTAGCGTGAAGGTGGCCTGTTCAAGGCTATAGGTTATCGCGCACTGGTGGTGAAACCCCCCTTCCAACGCGTACTTGGAAGCACAGCTCTGGAGTTGAAGGTAGTATTCAAACGGCAAGTAGTGACCTCGACACCTGCCAATCCGATCGGTCAATTTTCCACCAATCACGAATCTCCGTATGTCATGCACACGGATTTGGCGGTGTCCCAGTTTTAGGGCTATGCGTTTTCTCTAGGGTTGATCCCACGTTTTATGCTCTGCTGCCGCCCCGCTCTGAGACCAACCTGTGCTTTAGAGATTTTCAAAGAAATCTTTTAGTTTTTGTTGGCACAAACAGCCCTGTCGCCATTACTGAGAAAACTGTTGACGTATACCGAATTGGCTCTAATACCCATCAACATTCTTTGTGTTAATTGCCTCATCTCGTGACCTGATTGACTGCTCATTCTTCTTACCAGGATATTCATGTTCCCCCATTTTTTTTTAAAGGACTAAAATGTTTGCTTGATTTCACCAATTTGCGTAAACTAAAGTTCCGATTTTGGAACAAACCGCCATCATGCCCTATAGGTCAAATGTAGGCGTCAAAATTTGACCTAGTTTACGGAAACAATTTCTAGTTAAACATTTGAAGGTCAAAATCCACGTCCAAGAAGTATTTCTGCCAACAGATTCGAAGAAACGGTAGCTGATTTAAGAGGAAAGTCAACCGTGAACTACTGTACCGTGGGGGTTCAATTTGTTATCTTTCAAAGTACATAGCTTTACGAGCTATAGACGAAAATATTTGCCGGTCCGTGTTGAACTACGAGCCTCGAACACGGCCAACACCAAACAGACATGTCCTGGGCCCAAAGGTTAACTTTTAGCGTAATTTAAACTGTGAACACGGAACGCCATTGGTCTTCCGATTAGTTTTGTCCATTTCCACACGAAACCAGAATTTACTAATCCTCAAATTGCCATTGAGTCTGGTAATTCTTGTACCTGGCTCTGTGTTTTCCTAAGGAACTTAACCTTCTTTTGACCTCTAGGGCATGACCCTACTTAGTGCAAAGTGCTGTGTACTTTAATATATCGATTTTTTTTGGCGAAATTACTTTCCTGCAATGAATATGAAATTCCAGTGGCATATGTCTTAGTCAAGTATGACTGAGTCATGACCGGTTGTAGAAAACGTGTTACCAATTCACTGATAATACATCACTGATATATTAAGACAATTTTCTTCAAGGTCACCCCGAGCTGCTGGCGACCCCGTTACATTGCTGTTTGGTTACTTAGACAACGGGTAACCGGTAACACACGAGGCTTGCTTTAAATTTTGCATGAACCCATCTACTACGTGGTGTGCATGGGATCCATCGACTTTCACCAGTTTTTTTTTATTTCCTACGCGCCGTGACGCTGTTTACTTCAGGTTGTGCAATTGTTTTTCTAAATAGCCTGAAAAGAAACCTCGTTCCCTCACCAATCAATGCACCTAATTTCCGTGCTACCGTGACCTTGAAATAGAGTGTAGTAATAAAAATCCAGGTTAACCGCCTTTTTGCGTGAGTGTGATTGGTGGGATTTAAATCCAAGGTAACCGGAGAGTACTAGAGAAGGAACGGTGTGATGAGGTCAAAATAATCGATAATAAAAACGACATTTGATAAAACGAGAAGTCGGAATGCCTAGCTAAGCGAACTGCCTAATCTCGTTCTGCAGTGAAGCTGTAGAACCGTTTTGATTGGTCCGTTTATTGTCGAGTCCTACATTACTGACAACTGAGCCTTCCTCATCTAATTAGCATCAAGACCACGCTCTACTGAGAGCAACTGCTGTGCAGGCATTGTAAATGCCAACAAGGCGACAGAAAAGTCTAAATATGGGAATATTGGCCACCAGACATTTCGTGTTGGCGTTGCAGTTGCATCGAGTAGCGCGTCGGCGGAGCAATGTGGTATTTTACAGTCTCATTCTAGCCTTTGTGTGCATTTTAAAACCCCTGAAATCAACCCCGTCAGGTAACCAAACTTTGGCCTCCGCGCAAACACGAGCAGTTAACTAGCGCTACGTCAACTTTGCACTGATCCCATTGGCAAAGGGCCACTGCTAGCACACTGGTTTATTTGCACTGGTGTGGGTGTCTAATGTGTGGTTCCGATCACCCCAGTGCTACAATGTGCATCCAGACTCGACCCTCCTAGTTGCCAAACTGCTGATTTAATTATGGCACAAATTCTTGACACTAGATCAAGTTGGATAAATTGTTTTGTACCATTGATGGTGAGAAGTGCGCAAATTTTTTGCCTTAAGAGGCCAATATCGCTCAGCACAAACGCCACCTTATGCATTCCACGAATGCACAAATCTAGTGCAGAAGGTTTTGTCAAGTCAAGTTATTTGCGTAAACTGGCCAATCTCATTGCCAGGCCACTTGTTTCAATTTGACGAATACGGAAGCAGGATTTGAACCAATTGCATTTCACTAGGTGGAAAATTACCATAAAACGATAGTTTACTCTGGAGATTTAAAACAAACGTTATGTTATGGGAAGGCGTAGCAGCCACTGTCTTGAAGATGTATCATGCGCGGTTCCTGTTCAAGAAAGTTTGGTCTTATCAAGCTGCGGAACCAGCCTTCCTTTTTCTCGAAACACCAGATCGCACCTTCCTGTGAAGGCTGATTGAAACGTTTTCAATGTTCCATGTCATTTAATTCGTCAAATTTCAGAAATGAGGCGTCTAAATATCAAAACAACAACAGCAACACCTAGGCACCAGCAACCGTAGTCGTGTTTAAGCGCAAATGGTTGCGAATGCCACTGCAGGCATGTTCTGAGGCAGATTGCATTCGTGCCCTTGTTTTGCACGAACAATCGTGTTTATTTTTGTAAATAATTTGTGCGAGAACGGGCGTGTTCGTCTGTTTTGCATCCGACACAACCTGTTTTAATGGGTTTTCGTATCTTGCACGAAAACCCTGCAAATTTGACCCATATTTTGGTGCTAGAGTACAAATGATTAAATTGGTACCTGAGTGGTGGATGTACCTTCGGAAATAAGTTCCAATTGGAACGACAGATTGGGTTTATCTTCCATTGCATTCTCGTGCCAGCCCCGTCTAATCAACCATGTGAATTCGCCTCCTTCCAATGATGTCGATTTATTGGCCAATCAGGAGTTCGTTTTGTGTCAGGCCTGGCTGATTGGTTAGCCTGTTGCTCCTACAACTTCTTCGAATATTGGTGATTTGTAGAATACCGTACTTAGAAAGCTTAAATTTTGCTGACTTCAAAGCCTAAGAAGTGCTGTTTTGTATTAGATGTTTTTTTCAGTTGTGATTTTAACAGCCGAAGCGATCAAAACAATTTTATGGTACCGCGGAATGCCCTAAACAAATGACACTTTAAGAAAATACAATCAAAGATGAATCAGCTGGCTTGACAGATCGGTTTCACGATCGCGACTTTTAGCCGAAATAAACTCCAAGTGATACCGTTGGTTATATTTGCTTGAACGCCAACTTTAAACGAATGCGAAGCTGTTTCTAAAGTTACGAAGAATAAAAACACGTGTCATGGGCCGATGGTCGCTGTCCCGTAACTCGTCGCCTCATTGGTGCGTCGTTTGTGCCTGAGTTCGAGTCCTGAAAACGCCAACCACAAAACAATCTGAGGCCGTACGGCCTCCATCTCAGGCCGCATTGCATTGTTCGTGGAATCCTCTAACATCGGAACCTGTAATCTCTTACATTCGCAAATCGCGGTTCGTGGTGTCACGTGAAACGTTGTGTTGTTGTATCATTACCCAGTGCGCGCATAGATTACACGCAAACCCGCACACACTACGCACACTGTACTATTACCTGACCGTTTTAATCGTTCTCTACATTATATTGCATCCTTCTGGATTTAACTAGATTGTTTAGCTGCGATTTTTTGAGGTGAATTTGTAAACTATTTTCGTCATTCAATGTATCGGTGTCTAATGTCCGTTCGTTACTTGTAAAAGGTCGTTTCCTCATTAAGTAGCATACGTGGATTGACAGAGATCAGATTGCGTTTGCATAATCAGTTATATTTCCACAAATAGGACACTGTCTGATGGGTAACGTTCGATACATAGGGCTAAAATGATCCACTCTCAGAAGGTGTCGTTTTTGAGGCATTAACCTTCATTCACAATGGTGCAGATTCATCTACAAAATATGCTTAGGTTATTCTCGACGTACCAGACGACCGTTCGCTTAACCGACTCATTGCACACTCATTGCAGAATTTTCATTTGGTTTACCGTGGTTACTTGCACGATTTTGAATCCTTCTCATACCAGACACTTAAACTAGTTCAGCTTGTCAGATAAACATCGTTTGGTATTTTGTGTAACTCCGACTTCAATCTGAGAGAAAATATCGTTTAATTCCGCACTACATCAGCTCACAAGCGCGTGTCCTGAATCAGTCGGTTGATTCGTGCGTGATTTACTCGCCCTACACTTGCTTTTGTCTGTTCGTGAGGTTAATTTGACTACCGGATTATACTGTTTATAGGTGAATTCGATATAGCAGTAACGTTCATAGACAAATCTTGCGTTTCTAATTCGCAGGCTACCATCCAAACCAACGGTATGGAAACGACAGCAGTCAACATCCTTCTAACCAATCACAGCCAACCCTGAGCAGCGCCAAGTCGCTGCCTTCACTGGACCCAACAGCCCTTCGTCCGAGCTCTCATTACTCGCAGCAGGCATCACAGAACCACAGTTGCGCCAGCCGTCCACGCCAGCCCCTGCCTCCACGCTTCCGCAACCTCGCCAACAGGAATCGTGCGCAGATGGCGCAGCGTCCAGACGATCCGGTCTGCTGCTGCGCCCAGTCGGTCGGCGGTCAGTTGCGTGGACGTCGGAAGGCGCACAGTCCCACGGCGGGCGAGAGGCAGTCCTCGGTGATGTGGCCCCCACCACCGCCTCCGAAGGACAAGTCGGGCCACTGGATTCGCGGGAGGGTGATTCGTAGTGAAGCTCACAGTAAGTCCCTCGCAGTTGGGCTTGTTGCCCTTTCTTCATTGCTGTAGCCGACGGCGCGAATCGTTTTGATTGTTCAAATCACCGTTAAACTCCGTGTACTTTATGCGCCAATATGTTCGGGCGATTCCCTGTCAAGTACTTCCTTTTGCTCATTTATCAAAACTCAAGTTGATAAAAGTACAAAGTAGTTTAAATATGGATTTGCAAATCCCGTCAGAGATTTCAGCTGATTACTCACCACGTTTTACGCCTGTTAACTGCAGACACGTAATTAGCATAGAATGGCACGAAATCGGCGTTCTTGTTCGTCTGCTGACTAATCTTCTAACTGGGCTGTTGGATGCGACATATGTCCACGTGTCACACCTGCGCTTACTGCAAGCCGATGTCAATACATCGTGCCGGGTTAGCGATTCATTTTGACGTTCAATCACATAAATGCGCTTAAGTTAGGGTGATCTGTGATTTTCACTTCGATATTGACCAGGCTCGAACCCTGGTCCATCGATTTTTTGTGGTGAGCTACCCTCTTGCGTGAACCAATCACGAAGCGCTCTCAGATTCGATCGTTGACAAGGCTTTCAAGTTTAATTTTGATTGGCTGTAAGCTACACATTACGTTTGTTCATATACTATCCATAGGACAACGACATCTTATATGTTAATTTAAACCTTAGCTTTCCAGAAACTCAAATATCTGCCCTCTTACAACGAACAGAAGGTTACACCAATGCCTCTCGTGTAGTAGCTACGCCCGATTCGAAAACGCCAATTTCCCTATTATGAGTGAATTTAAACACCCTCAAGGTCGCTGCATTCTTGTCTTGATTTGCACACTCTACTGTGCTTGCTCACTGTGCAAGCTTCCTTGGTTTGTCGGTGTGCTATTGTCCTCTTGTGTGAATCGTTACCTGCGCATTTACCAACTGCTTCATTGTGAAACATCACGAAGATCACGTTCTGCGTGGATGGCGTAGATTTAAAGCAGTCCCGATTCGAACCCGTTTTGGTTTCTGATGTGTTTATATGATACACACCGTTGCTAAAACATGTTACAGCCAACAGTCAACAAAATGTCTAGCCTCGGCTTAATAAATCCATTGTCTTTTTGGCAAATTCTGAAATTTTTTTTCTAAATTTGAGACAAATTCGAACCAACCTACGCGGTGTTTCGTCAAGGTTTGTGGTTGGTTTTGTGGCTTCGGCAAAAAACCGAATGGTTGGCGCTTTCGTAATGAAACTTCATAACCGTGCTCAAACGTCACAGCAGTTGAAAAATCGTAAAATTTTGATGAGCAGTTGAATGCAACCGTCGTTGTGTTTTCGCCATAACCACGAATCTCGTATACCTGTTAATGACTGATGTAACCCTTTTTTTTAAATAAAAAACGGTTTTTCTATCGTCATTTAAAATGACTTGGAGTAAAAACTAGACACTACAAAATAATTTAATTAAAGCAAATAAGAACCTGAGTAAATTTTAGGTGACAAATACAAATACGAGAGACACCCTGAGTAGACGGGCACCAATAATGCACGTTTGAAATTTGTCCAGGAACGCTATTGGTGATTGGATAGAGGCAGTTGTTTTAATTGAGCATTTGGACCTATAATACGCCCACCGCGCTCAGTACAAAAGTATCGATTAAAAATAGGCGCTGTATTTGAAAAAAATTGCGCCTAAAAGTGCGTTAAAGACTTCTTTTATTCTAGTTGATGGGATTGTTCATTTCCAATAAAATCTTGAAATTCATCTGATCTGCCAAAATGTCAATCAAAGTATTTTTATCCATCCGGAAGTTAGTTGTGGCCTTGCGGTCAATCCAATGTCAGCATCCGTGTAAAACGTGCAAAATCCCCTATCGTCGATAACACCCACCAATAGGATGCACGAATACTGGTTTAAGGTGTGGTTTTTGAGAAGTTTAACTGAAAAATATCATTACACAAGTGACACAACGTTTTATCTGTGTGCTGTGCCTTGACTTAATGTTGGTGAACTTTCAAATCAGTCTAACTGGTTGCAATAAATGCCTATTTAATTCATCTCTATTCATATATAAGTTAAAACGTACAATAATCTGCGAAAATGAGCCGTTCCGTTGGTAGATTCCACATCCTTTTGCTCAGGCCCCGAAGAGTGCTACTTGTAATTTTTCAGTAGTAGCACTCATCCACCCTGGTTACAGAGAATAGAATGAGCAGGCTGTACCAGTGACTGACGGGCATGCCGTGTAAAGGGGGCTGCGACGACCGGGTAACTGGACATGGATCAACGCGATTTACCACACCTGTACATCTGTAGGTCGTACTATTTGAAGCCGTTGTAAATGATTGAAGTCGAAATTGTGTGCATTTTAATTAGAAACATCGGAACGACCTCAGGTAGCGGCTGTTGGAACTCAGTCGGACGACTTGCCTGAAGCGCCTTCGACTAGCCACCGAAATATTGGCAGTCCCTTTGTCAACGACCTCGACGACGTCGACAACGACGACGACGACGGCTACATTGACGACAACCCACTAGACGATCTCGACCAGTTCACGCTTAAGATCGACATGGACGGTGGCTTTATTGTGCACGACGCCACCATCTGTGATCCGATTCTCTCCAAGCCCATCAGTTCGTGGATTGACGAGGAAGACTCCCCCGAACCCCAGCAACCTCCACCGACAGCGGAGACGCGTGTCAGGAGGAATTCAACCAAAGATGTTTCGGCATCTCTCCCGCTGGATGTGGAGTGCTGCATCTTCTCAAATTCCTCACTGACTACCTCCGGAGTGTCCACTCTCTCCAGTCTGGATTGTCGCCTGTTGGATGACGGTGTAACCGCACCGATTCAACGATCGCTCAGCGCCGACCAACTAGACAAGGCTTCCAGAATCATCGGGGCTGCCTCCAAGCCATGTAAGTACTCAATTATGATCGCTCGGTTGCTGGAAACTTCTAAAATTTGCGCTCCGGATGCTTCATGCATCAGTGCTCTGATTCAGGAATACGTCGAAATTAGCGCTCCAAATTGCCGGCCCGACTTTGCTTGGTCGAACCCTCTCTGACACATCGGTGATCGCTTGTTTTAGATCGTTCGAAATTCAAGGATTCCGATTTCCTGCAGGTCGCGTGGGCGACCAACACCGACCGGTAAATTTAGCCATTCCCTTCCTCACTCTAGCTAGAGTGTCTTTAGCCTAGGCGCTTGCCGTGCTGCAGTAAACTGATTACCCCCTTCTGCTCTGCCAGCAAACTCCCTTCTTTGACGTCCCATCTCCTTTCTGCTCTTCTGTACATTTTCACCTAAAACCGACCTACGTGTCTATTTGCGCTGTCACCGTTGATGTTTTGGCTGGTCTTTACAACTAGGGAATAGCACTACTTATAGCCGGACACAAAAGCTATCAAGTAATGTGCAAATTAAGTTCTGTATCCTACATTTTCTCGGGTTTACCTCGATGAAAACTTGGCGTTCTATTGTGGAATTACTCTAGACTTGTCGGTGCCTTCTCTGCCCTAACCTCTTCTTCGTATCTTTCGATTGAATTTAACCCGCATTTGGCGTGGTTTGCCTCACCATTGCCCTAACTCTTTGCGTAGCACATTCTTACAGACAAAATCGCCTAATTAACACGACTCACATCAATGCTGGAAAAACGAAAAAGCCCCAGGAAAGCGCGTTTGAATGGGGAAAGACTCTACTCATGTCATAAGTAGAGCCATTAATTCGATATCGTTCTTTTTTTTAAACACGGCACGAAAAGCGGCCATTTTGTATATGCTACACTAATTTGCACACGGCGTTCACACTGATGATTGTGTGATGTAATGTACTTGTCACCTAGGCTAAGAACCGCATTGTCTAAGTATGATAAACCGGTGCCAGCAGGAAACATTCGTTCATTTCTAAGGAAATCGTGATTCACCAAGACGAAACGCGGCCTAACACGTGTTGACTCCATGTACTTTGATACGAAGCAATATTGTGGACCCTCTGTGGCAGTTAGTTGCAAATCACTATGTTATGCGAAAATTGGCATTTTTTGCAAAACAAAACCCAGATTCCTCTTTACTTAAGTATTCAAATCAACCTGAGGTGTGCCTTGAAGTGATTACAGTGACTAAATTTCGTTAAGTTGACCGAATTCGTGTGATAAGATCTTGCGCAACGGTATCCCTTCTGCGTAAGATCTCTAGGATATCTTGTTACTACTTCCATTTCATGAACAGAAGCGTGTTATGCGGTGATCTGGCGTCCTTATTACAGGCCTCATCACCTACATCTTTGTGCATTCGAGTGTGTAGATCCTATTCCACACATCCTTGCCTGGAATAGTTTCCCAACTTCACCCGACTCGTGGGACCGTTGTATATTTCGACGCAGTTGCTTGAGGTTGCGGTAAGGACGTTCAAGCAACCACATCTGCATGGACAATTTTAAATCACAAACTCGCAATTATGACGATTGATTTGAAAGTTAGGGCAATTCTCGGAGCGTTGAAACATTTTTCGACAGCCATGTTTCCAAAGCGGTCGATGTCAAAATTTTCTCTTTGGTTAGCTTACGATTCTACTCTGCCAAGTTAAGGAAATCACTTATGTGCTCTTGATTTTGAAATTTGTCCCGCCATCGGCGTTTGTGAGCATGATTAACAAATCGGAGAATACATTGGATGACGTTCTGCACCTCCTTGGCTGCATTTCACGGCCTCTGATTCGTGCTTGACCGGCCTTGAGACGTTTCCTTTGTGTGCGTCAGATTAGGGAGCAGAAAGTGTGGCGAGGTAATAAATTGAAATAACTTTTGGAAGGTTCAAATGAGCTCAATCGTGAAAATATTGTCCTGCGTTTTCCATGACCTTGCGCCATCTCTTGGGTAACGTCTGAATGCCGTCGCGAAACCAACTTGCAGTCTTTGAGCCAAGAAATTTGCGCACATCGTCCTTGAGCGTTTTAGGAACTGTTTTTCCAAGAGCTCCCAATAAAGTACACCCTTCATGTTTCCCCACCACATACATAGAAAAACCTCCTTCAAGTGGATGTCCTGCTTCGTCGTCGATGTACTGGGTTGCTTGGGATCTATCAACGACTTTTTACATTCGGGATTCTCGTTAAAAACGCACATTTCATCAGTTGTCCCAACGTTCCACACGATGTCTATTCTCTGCTTGTTGCCGGCGGGCAAGCAGTGAAAGGCATATGTTCAAACGCGGACCTAGGCGATTGTGTTCGATCAACACATGTGGGGGGATCCAACTCCCAACTTTCTAAATTTTTCCCATTTGGTGACGCGAAGGCTTGGAAATAGCTGTTTGCGTGACTCCTAACTGAGCTGCTGCAAGCTCTGGTTGCGTTTGCGTTGGGTCTTCATCCAGCAGAGCTTGCGATTCTGCATCTCCAAACTTTCGAGGCTGTTCGGGGTGCGGCTGGTCACGTCCATCACAACCACCACTTCCAAAACGTTTGTACCAATGATTACGCGTTTCATTAGACACAACTTTGGCACCAAGAACACGTCAACTGTTTCCCTGATGGAATTCGCGTAAAATGCTGTGCCATTGAATGTGTCATTAGCCGTAAAAACATATTTTAGCTGCGTTAAATACCCAAGCTGCGCCGCAACACGCCCTTCCTGTTGACAGCACCCGCTTCCGCCAAAATCATCAAGTAAGATTTTTTGGGGGTGAAATCTGGTCCAATGTTTAGTAAATGTAGGCTCCCAGTTCCAGTTGATGGAATCGCTTCCATTGAGCTATTTAACTAGTTCCAGGCTTCAAAATACCCAGAAAGCAAGATGCTACCCTCGTTGAATGTCTGGTGACGTGGGATTTGAAAAAAAAGGGTGTGGAACAGCTTGAGTGTTGGCTTTCTTGCTAGGCAAGACTACCATCGCATGCCCCGAACCCATCTTGATGACAACGATCTGCAAGCATTCGACAGAACCAGGTTGTTCCAAGGAGGATTCGAAAGACGGAGGGCGAGGTAGACATCTAGACAAGTGTCGTCTGCCATTAAATCATGTGTTAACAACAAGGTGAAGGCGAATGTTGAAAAGTCCAATGCCCGTTGTTGTAAAAAGATAGAAATTGCGGAACGTGGAGAGGAAGTGTATTCGTGTCGAGCACCCCTACCTTCGAATCCTCCCAACCTCCAATTATCACCTTGAGTGAATCCGTTTCTTCAGTAACGAGCTGTCAATTCCTAGGTGAATCAGCAGTTCCGAGATTGCCATTCTACATCCCTTAGGTAATGTCTGCCTCGTTCGGCGCACCCTCTTTGATGGACCTTAAGACGGTTAAATTCGCTTGGAAATTTCCGAATTTAACCCAAAAGCCAACAAACGTTTGAAGCCACTCTAAATTGACACTTGACGCCCACTGGCGATGTCGCCCACAATGTCGGTAACTTGGTTATTTCGAAAAGAACTCACTCTAATCCAACCTACTGACGAAATGGATTCGTAACAGCCTTACCCTCATTCTGTCTTGACTAACTCAGCGTTGGATTTCGTCTGCGTGTGTTGCTGCCACAAACTCAATTATGTGTGGTTTGTCAGTGTGTTTTAGGTCGTCGCGGCCTATCGCAGCAGACCGCAATCTGTGATTTTCGCGATGCAAGTAAAAATGCCGCTTTAAAGATGTAAGCAATCTATTTTGCCTAAATATGCTGCCATCTGGACAAATAAATCAACCCCAATAAATCCTACATCTAAGTCGATTCAACAGTTGAGGTAGCGCGCAGTTGTAAATGTTTGTGATACGGCGTGACCTCAGTTAATTTCACTTTTGACCTTTCTAACCCTGAAGGTGTTTGCGTGTTCCCGTGCGCTGCGTGAGGAAACGATCAAAGTTGTTAGTTTTGAAGCAACCGTTTCTTCAGATCTCACTATACACCCCAGATGTAATCGTGGTCGCAAAAGTTTACACAATCTTGTCTGGAAGTAGCAAGGCGCACAGACACCGAGTTGAATCATTCCAAATTTGGAAACGGACTTCGTAATGTCGTCAAGTCTAACACGTACATATGGACTTAGTGACAGAGTTGGAAATTTTCGTCCGAAAATGTTTTCCAAAGGCATTTATTTGAGATCTTTGAGGAAATACTGCCGTGATCATTTGTCTGTTTAGTAAACAAGTAAATTTTCCTTGTAGGAATCCCCGTACAAGCCTCGTGTTCTCCGCCTTTGCTAGCCAGAGTCGACGCCTCCTGGAAACGCTTCCACACATGATCATTTTTACGTACTTGTAATCTCGGATTGAATGTGCACTTTTGCGTTAATTTTAATACACAACATCGCATTTTCTAGCAGGTAATCTCGGCAGCCTTTTGAGTCCTTTCAACTGGTGTTGGTAGCGTCTCTCACCGATATTAATTTCTACCTCACCGTTCAAATTACGCCCTCAAAAGTTTGCTTAGATGCCACTCTCACTTAAACGAACTGATTTAGGTAATTACGCGGGCATTTGGACGATCCTGATTGGCCCCCTGATTTTGATGAGTTGAACTCACGGGCTTGCTGCTTATCCAATTAGACGCTACTGAGGGTAGTGCGACCGAAGTTATTAGTGATTGACAATTTTGCTACTGGCAATATGATAATTAGCAAATGCACGGTAGTGTGTCCGATCAATGTGATTAGGTATTCTGCACAACAGCACGAGTAGAATTTCAGCAGTTGTTTAAAACGATACCCGATGTAGAACGCGCTTAGACCGAATAATTACGCTGTACATTGTGCTATAGAGATAAAAATGCTGTCTGAAAACGATAAACACCAAGTACAGATGCAAATTTAAGAGTAACATTTAACTGGTTAAAGTTCAAGTTACCGCCCAAGTGCACTAGACCATTGAAACAACAAGCGGTGCGTTTAGTGATCAATAAAGATCAGAATTACTGCTAAGCATTAGGAAAGTGGGCACTGATATTCTAAATTGTAGAAACGATTGTACCTTCGTGGATTTAGCTGGGTTATGCTACAAAATCGATTACACATTGCGCATCATTGCCCCTCCAAATTCAAATCTCTGGTTCCTTGCTCAACCACTGTGGCATATCGTGTGTTCGTCTACCGTGTACCGTCTACACTTGCGTCTTGTCTATGCTTCGCTTACATTCCAAACACTCGTCTATTTCCCTTCTTACGCCTTTCACATTCTCTACTTTTGTAATTAGTACTTTTTTCGGTATCTAGAATCACTGTGCTGTTGGTTACGTCTGTTCTTAAAAACTGATCCAGTACTATATCGGTTTGGCTTTTTGAGGACCCAGAAATGGATCCGCTCGAGTTTTTCATTCATTCTTCTTCAAAAACCTCTAGAAGTGAGTATGATGTGGCAGTATTCTGCATCTGCAAGCAACGTCTGTCGACAGACTATTAACTCGCAATGCTAATAAAGTGACCGACGTCTGAGTTTACAAGAATGCCAACTACTTCGTGCTGAGGGTTCGTTTAAAGAGCACATCTCGTTCTTTCGTCATACCTACGTCCTCCACCTACTCATCTTATTGACTCAGTGTCCAAATAGTTCGCATTTACAAACCCCAAGACATCCCCACAACAGAGTAAATCCTCCTACTTTCGTGTCCTCTACCCAGCTTTTTCCCAATTAGATCGATTTCAATAAGTACTATCCACAACTGACATCTTTCTAAGATCTCATTTAAGTCAGTTATAAAATCTAACTATCCCAGTGTGCCATTTTTTCTGATCCCTTATTTCTCACGCATCACCCCCTGGAAAAAAGGGAAGATCTCTTGCAAATTATGAAATTTACGAACCAGAAATACCGCGTTACACGGCTTCAGAGCTTCTTCAGAGCCTGGTCAATTTCCGGACCATATGTTTTTATTACTTCAGCTAGTCCCTTGCCAGCTTCTGCCCTCTTTTTCGGGTCTTTTTCGCTTTGGAGTTCCTCCTCGTGCTTCACGAGGAGATCATGGATTGCCTCAAATGTTTTGTCGCCTTGCAGAGCAGTCGATGCTGACGTCAGGGAAATCGCAGCTGCAGTAGCTCCGACGGTCGTGGAAGCAATGCTAGTGGGTGCGGCGGTGGTAGTAGTAGTAGTAGTTGTTGTTGTTGTAGATTTAACTGCCTTCTTCGTTGCTTTTCCTGCCTTCCTCCTTGACGGCCCAACGTGAACAGTCTCCTGAGGCCACATGAAATCTGGTTGAGGTGGTTGCGGGAACCAGAACGGCTCTGGTGGGACCATTTGGGGTTGTTCAAAGACGGGAAACTCTCGAGGGTCTTTGAAATGCGTGAAAGGTACTTCTGGAACAGTCCATGGCAGTCTTGGATGATGTGTAAAGAGCGCTGGCCCACTCTCGCCATGGAAATAGGGAAACGGTTCAGGCTCAGACCAGTGGGTGTTGATGAATGGTGTCACGGGTTCAGGCATCGCCCCCCTGAAACCACCGTCAAATCCCCAATTCGGGGGAAGATAACTCTCTGGTGGTGGTTGAAACCGTTTGCGTTCCAGTGATGTCTTCCTAGCCGGTTTGATGAGTAGTTCGGAGTCATTTTTAGCTTGAAAATCGCTTTGGACGTCGCCTACGGTTTGGTTATTTTGCATCATATTCTTCTGGTCATTAGATGAATCTCTGTTTTGATTCTGAGCCTTAGAAGTTTGACTAACATCGGTAACCGGTTGTGTTGGTTTTGAGGCAACCTCTTCAGAATCAGATTGTCGCCTGTGCGCTCTTTGAGATCTCCTTAAACCACCCACAGCTGCCTTGGTAGGCGAACCTTCTACCGACTCACCTCTCCTTTCTGCGACGAAGTCATTGGTGACGTTTTTGGTTAAAGGTTTTTTGAAAACATTGCCTTTCTGTGTGGCAACCGACGGCTTTTTAAGCTTTTCAACTGGTGGTTGAGGTGGTTTCTCGGGCTGAATTTTCCTTATTCTTTTTCTGTTATCAGTAGGCGGTTTTCGGAGGTGACGAGAGTTCGGTTTCGATACTTGACTAGGTGAAGGTTCTCTCTTTGACTTAACTCCGTTGAATCTGGTTGCGTTGTAGATGGGTCTACGGAATCTCGAATCGACGCTCACTTCCGACTCTTGTCTACGTCGAAGTGGTTCCGTAGACGAGATAACAGCAAGACAAGTTAGTAGCAGAGCTGCTAACCCGGGCGCAGTCATTTTAAAATTGACAACACAACTGTGAATACGGTCAGACGTTCGGCCACTTTCGACAGTGCATCAATGTGATTGGATGATCGCGCTACCTAAAATCAATATTGACCCGATTATCGAGTTGTGTGCTTCAAATGCGCGCTATTTCGGGTCACTTAGTGCATTCAAATCATGAATTGTGTTTTTTTTCGACTTAGTTGCTTGCGAAGATCTTTTTCTAACAATCCATTTTGCCTAAATTTGGAAATTGTTTCCAAACAATTGCCGTCCTTTTCGGCAATAAATTGCAAGTACCCACCGTCAAACTTTCTGAAAAATTCCATTTAACCTACACAAGGACATCTTGTTAATTTTTATTCATGCGTCCACTCCATTCTGCACCCGTGTGATTTCGGTGTGTGCACACACACGTGTGAAGCATTCGTGTGAACTCTGGTAATGTACATACTTCACCCCATTAGACTAGATCTTAATTAGTCTGAACTAAAAAGATCCAACTGTGGACTTTTGATCTTAAATTGGCTCTGTATTGATTCTTAGGGGAAAATGTACTGTGTAGATGCAGATGTAATCGACAATTTATTGTGTGTTACGGGTTCAAAGGACTAGTCTACTGTGGACGATTCTGTCCAGAAAAGATTTGCTGTATCTGACGAAGATTCTTCTTCATCTCCTTTAGTCGCCCCGGATCCGTCTCACTTTTAACCTCCAGTAGATACCTTTTCAACAAGTCGGAAATCTTCTCATAGATGTCAGGCGTTTGTGATGGCCTATCCGTAGCTGCATATTGCTCCATAGAGGCTGTGCTTTCCAAGCTCCTATCCTCTGTCGTTAACACCGTTTCTGACGTGGACGTAAGCTGGGTCGCATCACTTGTTTGTGTGCTAGGCGCAAGCGTCACTGTAGCAGTCGTCACATTCCCTTCTGCTTCAGCTGTCGTTTTAACAGAAGGGGATTCTGCTGACGTGTCACCGGGACCAAGCGTTGGCGTGACACTTGTTTGCGTTACGTGAGATGTCAGATTCGAAGGGGGAGTGACCATATCTCTGTAGTCCCCTTCTTCCCTTTTCCCTGCACCATCTTTTGAAGTGAATGAACTTTCAGTTGAGAGTGCATTATCACTTTTTGCCGTGGTGTTTATCCGTCCTATTTCGCCATTTGAAACCTCTTCAAGTTCGGTGGTGGTTGGGACACCTTGCGTCGTTTCATCAGCGTCTGGTTCTGGTCTAGTATAATTTACCAAACTTGATGTCCTGTTGTCTGAAGCCTCTGATGTTGCCTCGAACGCCTCAGGCGTCACCTTATCAGTAGTTACCTTGTTTTGACTTTCTGGACTTACCGCGGAAACACGTGATGCAACCAAAAGAAAAATTAGGGCAAACGATATCTTCATTGTCGAGATGAAGGCATTCGAGTAACGCTTGGACGATGTCAGATCCCTCAACTAGCGATAATTGATCACATTCGACACCAAGGACACTGGGTGCAACATTTCAGGGTCATGTTCGCAAGACCAATTAATCACGCACTGGATAACAGGTCATATTTGGGTGCACTGAAAAACGTTCGACTCAATCGTATCGTTTAAAAAAAACTGCGAAATACATGAATTTGACTTGTTTTTGCAACAAAGGCTTCGATATTCTAGGATAATTGTACTTTTTTGGACGGTTTAGCCTGCCTGCTGAGGCAAGTATGTCAAATCAGGCTAATCTGGGCTTCTGCTCCTCCCCTTTGCCTTTGATTGGATCGCGCTAACAGCCAATCATATCTTCCAATTCCAAGTACAGACTGCACAAGTTTCCACTTGGCCGTGTCGTCTGCCTTCGATGGAGTCGATCAGCTGCAGAGTAGCCGCCCACACCTGTAAACCGCCAACAATGCATGAATGTACCTAGTCTAGTCTAGTCTCACGTGACACGGAGTGCGAACGTGAACCATGGGGTCACGTGCTCAGGTGTGCGTTGGGCCCACACTTGGGCAGCTCACTTCTCACGTGACCAGCGGTAGCAAAGACAACCGTTTACTAGACACCTCAATCTGGTAGTGACTGTCGTGTCTAATTAAACGGGTTTTTTAATTAATACAGTCTGGGTGAGCCTGTAAAAGTACAAATGGCTGGACGTTCAAATGAATGAAACAGACGTAGTGCGGGTGGTACACGCACAAGGGTGTGATAGCATTCAAACTTAGACAATTATCAGTGTATTGATCGCTGCTTCGCCCTCGAAATTCTATTGGCTTATTGCGTGAACGATTTCACTAGTCATTGTGCAAGTAATTTGAAATGGGCTGGGCTACTTCTGTGGAAAGATTATCTGTTAATTTCCGCTTCATGGACAAATTTTGTGCAAGAAGTGATTAAGGAAAGCCCAAATATCGTCGTCGAATGCACTTTAACTCTGCGAACTATGAAGAACACCTAGTCCAATTAAAATTAAATGCACTGGCCAAAATAAACAGTGCTTATATCTATTAAACTAATGTAAATAATCGCCACTCAGGTTGCACCACCGATTTGTGGGACATTTTAGCCAATTAGATGCATGCCCCAAGGTCATTCCATTCACTTCATTTCTACAAAACGGCTCCTTCGTGGACTACATAGGTCAGTAATTACTTATTATGGAAATGCTGCTTTTCAAATTCATTACTAATTTTCGTAAGTTGTTATGTCTACAGAGACAGGCTCACGTGCACCAATCAGATTAGGGCACCTGTTAAACCAATCAATTGTCAGCAAATGGACATCAATCAGTGGTCAGTAGATAATTGTGGCTATTCAAAAGTGGTAAAGCTCTGACGTAGTTATATCTCACTCTCCCCCCTTCAAACCAATGAAAACTAACAGATTCATTTCAGTAAAACTCACAATTTACTGCTAACACCAATATACACGTCAAGACACAGATTAGAGATTAGAGGAAATTAAAATACGGGGAAATGTCGATATCAGCTTACTTGAAATATCATAAAGGCCTGGTTATTTTGTAGGGGTTTTTGTGCCTTTCAATTGTGCCATGTAATGATACTCCTAGCATAATCTCGAGTCAAAAATAAACACGAACTAGAAGAGTTTGGAAGAAGCTAGTGACCAGAAAAAAAAAGCCTATTATAGAGGGAGTCGGAACAAGTGGACGAGAGGAATAGATGTGACAAGTCAATCGGGCGGGTCAGGGATTGGGGAACGAGACGGGTTCCACGACCTCTCACTTGACTAATACCTCCATGGACTTTCGGCAGACAGAGCATCTGCTTACTTGCCGCAGGAGATCCGCTTTGTAAGTTGTGCCTACGGGTTTGGTGAACTGCTCGCTGTAGGTGATGGCTTTCAGCCAATACGAGCGGCCATCTTGCCAGTGGAAGCAGTTGCCATGGTGATTGTTGCATTCGATGAAGGGCAGCGCGCGGAAATTCATTAGACAGCTACCTGGCGAGTGCAGAGGTTGGACTCCACCGGAAACCGCCGCGCTTACAACCTAGCGGATCAACAAAGGAGCACTTTAAAGGCGTTTTTAATCACATTTGCGCATTTAAACAGAGCCTATGTCCTCTGAAGTAATTTTCTTAAATTTTATTCACTCTAAATCTACTTACCATTGGCATGCTGAACCCGTTCCAAGCATGTTCCCAGCCTGCAGGACAGCTTTCCTCCAAGTAGGGTCGCTGAGAGTGGAAGGCAACGAGGTTTGTGCGAGATTGACAAACAACACACCTGAAAGGAAGACATTTTTACCTCTTTCACAGGCGAAATTAACAGCTGCTTAATCTCAACTGAAGCAGGCAGCAACTTGCCTTGAGATGTAGCGTTGAATACGGTCCACAGGCAGGGGCTCGGTCATGTAGTGCTCGAGCGTGGAGAGCCAGAAGGAGCGTCCGTTGCGCATATTGAACTGACAGGAGCCCAGTGGCACGGTGTTGAAGCAGGACGCGAATGGCATTATGGAGAATGTTTGGATACACGACCCTGGGGTACCTGAAACGGCAGCAAAAAGAGTTGAACCTCAATTTAAGACTTTCACAGTTTCTTTTCGTCAAGTGCTGAATCAAGCGCCTATGTGTACTAACGCTTTCCACATACCAAGATCCATTGTCATTGAATCGTCTTCTCCCTGCAAGGTCACCAAGCTGTAGCCAGTGTAGAGTTCTTGCGTGAACTCGGGACAGGACGGGGGAGTGTCCTTTTGCGAATGCACCGCGAATAGGTATCCACCGTCGCCGAGTCCAATGGTTCCATTGGGCCCATCGGGGCCGCGGTAGCCTTGAGGGCCGCGCTGACCCTTGGGGCCACGATAACCCATGTCGCCCTGTGGTCCGCGGTCTCCCGTAGGACCACGTGGTCCGGCGAGGTATCCTGCAGCTCCTTTGTAACCCTTCTCTCCCGGAGGGCCCGTCCGACCAGGTTGACCTTGAGGAAGAAGACGAAGAAGAAGTCGCACACACACATTCCAACAACGCCGTTAGCCAACCAGACGCTTTACGATTCGTGGAATTCGACGACTCACCTTGGAATCCTGGGTAGCCGAGCTCGCCTCTCGGACCGGGCTCCCCAAAGTCTCCAGGCAGCCCCCGAAACCCGTAACCCGACTTGCCCTTGACACCTTTTGCTCCCATCACGCCTGGACGTCCAGCCGGTCCTGGCAAATGCATGAAATGGAATGTCGTTTAGTCATTTGGTCGCCCCAATGGCAAATCCTTCTGGCAGCAAGCAATTTGAACGTTATTAGTGTTCACCTTAACGGCAGGAGTCTTACCTCTAGGACCCTCATATCCACGCATTCCAGGTTCACCAATATCGCCCATCGGTCCATCGGGTCCGGGTCGGCCAGGAAGTCCCGTGAGGCCAGGCTTTCCACGAGGGCCGTCCTTGCCAGGAGCTCCACGGTATCCGGGTGAGCCAGGTCGCCCTGGCATGCCCATAAAGCCGCGTTCACCGGGCATACCCTGGGGACCCATGTCACCTGGCTCTCCGCGACCAGCTCTGTATCTGGGGATGCCTTGCTCCCCCGGATCACCAGTCGCACCTGCAGAAGAAGCAGAGCTCGATTTAAGACCTCTCAGTTTACCCGTAACCTTCTGTGTTTCAATACTTTCAGGAAATCCAACACATGTTTGTGCCAATTTGAATTTATTTTGCTGAAACCAAAGAATCCGTGCCTAGAGAAACACAAGAGGCTGCAGCGGGCCTCAGTGCGGTATTGGAAACCACACAGGGCCGACAATCTACGTTGACACGGCCCGACCGAAAGAAGAGTGGAAATCAATGCAGATGGCGCATAGCCCAACTAATTTATTGATGAAAGAGCGGTGTGTGCAGGATAACTAGTCGCCAAGCATCGATTTCTGCACGCACGGAGTTGCGTGAAGTGTCTTTGCGAAAATCGATTGAGTCGTGTTCGCTCACGACTGCTAACTGTGCCCACTGGGTGCTCGCCACAAGACCTAAGACCGCTGCTAGGAAAACCGAGCCTTATATATATATATATGTTTGCAGGATGGCTGTCGACTGATTTATTGATCGCTTTGTTCAAACATACCGGTTCTGCCGGGTGGACCCTCGATTCCCATCTCGCCTTTCCGTCCCTCTGGACCCATTCTTGGCTGTCCAGGCATGCCCTTTAGACCAGGCAGCCCCTCCAAACCTACCAATGAAAAAAAAGTTACATGATTTAGAGATTTTGGCATAACATTTGACTGCACCGTATTACATAAGGTACAATGAAGGGGATATTCACGTTTCTCGAACCCCCATTGGCTGTTTACGTTCGTATCGGAGTGCAACTTGTGCGGCGCCAGTTTAAATTAATGCACACGACCAATCAAATTCAAAAATCTTGATTGCACTATTGTAGACTCTTGTCACCACGGAACGTACCTTTGTCTCCAGGTGGTCCCTCTGGGCCCATAAGCCCAGGGGGTCCAGGTTCACCCTTTGGACCCCTTGGGGCGATAGGACAGATCCCAGGTCGTCCTTTCCTGCCTCGCATACCAGGCATGCCCTTAGGTCCAACCGGCCCTCGAGCACCAACTGGACCCGGATCACCGGGTGGTCCCGCGGAACCGTTCATCCCACGGACACCTGGGTACCCGGGAATTCCGACGTCTCCAGGCAGACCGGCGTATCCACTCACACCTTGTGGACCTGGAAGGCCTCTTGAACCAGGTGGCCCAGATCTACCTGAAATTTTGTGTTCCATAAAGGTGACAAGTAAACGGCATGGTCAATGTCGGTAAAGAACACTCAAGTCGAAAGCTTCAAGCACTCACCCCGGTAACCACGTTCACCAGGCTCACCCACGGGTCCCGGGAAGCCCTTGGGTCCAGGGGGGCCGGCGTAGCCTTTGCGTCCTTTAACGAGGCGTGCCGGCGGTCCGAGGTAGCCCTCATCGCCTCTGTCACCTGGCAGACCCGGTAGACCCTCTTCGCCCGGTTCTCCGCGTTCCCCCTTTTTCCCCGGAAGTCCCTCGAGTCCGGTGAAGCCTACTTGGCCTGGAAGACCTCTGGGTCCCTAAACGCCGAAAACGAGATCGTTTCACCGGATGTTCAACCAACTTATAGCCCCGAATTCATTCGAGATTACATGCTGAGGCTTTGAATTTGCGGAAATCTATTTATTTGTCTTAACGTCTGGTTCAAAGAGCTCCTGATGAAAAGATGGTTCCCATCAGGACACTGACCTGAGGTCCCATTCTCCCCGGATAGCCTGGATCACCCACGGGGCCAGGAATCGGGTCGAAGCCAGGAGCTCCGGGGTCGCCAGCCGGTCCTTGAAAGCCCTTTGGACCCATGGGTCCAGGTGCACCAATGCCCGGACGACCTGGCTCGCCAACCTTGCCTTCCTTGCCATCCAATCCCTGGAGACCTCGCTCACCTTTCAGACCGTCTACACCTGGACGGCCGGCGGGACCCGGAAGACCGGATTGAGACAGTCCTGGACGTCCACGAGGCCCCTTCGGACCAGGATAGCCCTGCTGACCCATCATTCCTGAACGCAAATTCAAGAAATGGAAGAAGCCGTTGCATACACGCCGCAAATAGCAGGCACACCACATTTTACGGCTCAATGGATCCGCACACTTGAATCCTTACATGATGAGCCATCTAACAGAAGACCCAAAGTACTGTTAGCAAACTCACCTTTAGGTCCTTCCATTCCAGGCATTCCAATATCGCCAACTCTTCCAGGTGGTCCCCGAAATCCTGGAAGGCCCGTCGGCCCCACTGGTCCATCCTTGCCAGGTTCACCCATCGGACCGCGGCCACCTCTGTCGCCCTTCGGACCAGCCGGTCCGACACGGCCAGGGAAACCGGTGAATCCAACAGGACCCTCGACTCCAGGTGGCCCTGAACTTCCGGCATAGCCACGGTCCCCACGTGGACCCATGTCGCCGGGCGGTCCACGGCCGTAGCAACGCATGGTTCCACCGGCTCCACCCTTCTGTCCAGGCTGGCCTAAACGCGTGAAGTGAGTCAGGCGATTTTTGCAGGACTGTCATCACACTCGGACCGTTGAAATCGGTGGCGGCCGATTATGTAGACATCTTTCGATTTAACCAGGCCATAATGGCTTCAAAGCTGCTAATTTAGATTGTTGTGAATCGTGTTTATTCACTCTGATACAGGGTTCTCCTTTTCGCAGCATGTCGCCAGCCGCGTGGATCCTCAACTTCCCCTTCATTCACATGAATATTTATCTTGGATTAACCTCACACCTAGGTCTCGATGTTAGCACATTTATGACTCACACATCAGAGATATAAATACACAAGCGTAAACCCCACACACGAGACGACAATACCAACGTGGTTGAGCTCTGAAGTAAACGGTTGTGTCCGCGTCCTCTCCTATCTTTTTTCTGCATCGTGGAGCATCAGGGAAACGTAATTGGGCCAGGGTTAATGCCGTGGCCCCGGCGTGGTTCAAGACCACATGCTGGGGCCCACAACAAGATACACGCGCTAATTTAATTGCATGACTGAAAAGAGTTAGTTGGCGCATTCTGATAGTGAAGGGTGACATCAGAACTGCCTAATTTTGCTAAATTTGGCCGTGACAGGTTAACGTTCTCCCTTGGCTCACTCCCACCTGCGGCCAAGGTCGCATCGCGCTGAGACAGTGAAACGATCTGTACTGGCTTCTTGTTGGGGACCCACGATTCCCCAAGATTGGTTTCTAATTCTATTTACATTTATTTATTAACATTTGTTTTGTTACGCTTTTATCAAGTCGAGGTTGACCTTGACTTGAATCACTTTCGATTTCACTTCTTCTCTGCACGTGGCTGACGTGTATGAAGTGCTCTACTCGATCGCTGATCTTGTCCCAGTATTAGCCTGGGAACGTCGGTTCCAGCTTTCAACTGGGGATCTGGTACCATTATTTGATTGGTCTTCTTTTTTGTTGCGGGCAAACGTAACACATCTCTACTCCAGCACGAGGTCGTACTTGATCTTCGGACCTAGTAAAGCGTCAAACTCACGACGAAGATCATGTGGCGGCTTGGGTTAGCTGTTAGACGTTACAAAACACATTTAAAGATACGTAATAGTCGAATTTTGCACTAAAAATAAGCGAGAAGGTTGAATTATGACAAAATCTCAACGTACCAGTAGGACCACGAGGTCCAGGGGGTCCCATTGGAGCCGGTAGGGGCTGAGTGCTCGGGGGACCCCGGAATCCCTTGTCGCCAGGCGGTCCCATTCTCCCCTGAGCACCTGGTGGTCCACTAATACCAGGCGGACCTAGTAAAAAATTCACCATGCTAAAAATCAATACACTTGGACGGATTTTGCCAATCAGAAGGAGAGCGATTGTAGTGTGCTCCCACCAATCATTGTCTATCGATTTTTTTGTGAGGGCAGGATGGAGAGATCTGAAAAGCACCAGCCGTGTGTACATCAACTTCAATTTTAAGGACAAAGTGTTTTCGATCGATTGCAGTTTCAGCGTTTTGAAGTGATGACCATGAGGATGGCGAAATGTCAAATTAAGCGAAATTGCTACTTATCCTACCTGGACGTCCTCGAACACCCATGGGACCGCTTCTGCCAGGAATTCCACGGTCACCAGGGAGGCCAGGAAGCCCTGGACGTCCTTTGTCTCCAGGCAAACCACCGACGGTGATGCCCGCATCACCAGGTTCGCCGCGTTCACCTGAAAAAGAAAGCAAAAGGTCTTTGAGGAAGGCCGTACATCCATTTGTTAGAAATTCATGAACCACAGTCCCAAATTGTTAGCTAATAAGACGCTTTATCAACATTCCAGCCGAAGTGGTTGGTGATTGGCTCACAGCCGTGGATCCTGTTTGGTTAATGGGTCTGATACCATTCCTGGTGTGAAGTTAGGCCTTGCCGTCATGCCAGCTCACCTTTTTCGCCTGGACGACCAGTGTATCCGGGTTCACCGGAAGCGCCAGGTTGTCCAGGATAGCCCACTGGACCCGGAAGTCCGTCGCGTCCAGGCGGACCCTGCATCCCAGGAATACCGGGCTCACCGCGTTCGCCCATTGGTCCGTGCGGTCCACGATCGCCTCTAACTCCACGGTCTCCACTTAGACCCTGGATTCCTGTTAGTGAACACAAATCAGGTGATTACTTCAGGTCAATTTTGACCTATAGAAGCAGAATTGATCTTGCCTTTTGGTCCACGCGGTCCGGGAGTGCCATGAGGTCCCGTGGGACCAGGGTCGCCCTTGGGACCCCTGTAGCCGGGTTCACCTGTTGAAAGAGGACAAAGTTAGGGTTGACTGGTGGCACAGTGATCGATACACAGGCGGAGCCTCACACACCTTTCATGTAGACTGGACCCACAACGGGACACGAGAGCGTTCCACCTCGGAAACCCGGACGACCTTGTGGTCCGGTTGGACCCATGTCGCCCGGCTCACCAGGGGCCCCCTTTACCCCGTAACCGTCCTCGCCACGCTCACCGGGCTCGCCCTTGTCACCAGCTGGACCGGGGTAGCCCGCCATGCCGTCCAGTCCAGGACGACCCTGGAAGGCAAATCATCTTTGTGACCAACACGGTGGAAGCCCTAGTGCCTTCCTGAAAACCACTTTCTTGAGGGTAAGGGAGACGAAAAATCAGAGGATTGACACTCACCCTTGGTCCCCTAGGTCCAGCTTCGCCAGGAGCTCCAGGAAGGCCGGATGGACCTCGTTCTCCCATTGGGCCGACGTTGCCAACACGTCCAGGCTCACCCTGATCGCCAGGAATAACCGCACGGTTCACAATCGTGATAAAACCGGTGTCACCTGGCTCACCCTTGGGTCCAGGAATTCCTGGTAGACCTTGAGCACCCTAAAATCAAATTTCAGGGAGATTTGAATGTTAGGTGTCGTGTAATATTTCGGTTGATCGTGATTGGCTGCTATATTAACCAATGAGTGAACAAGAATTCGAAGCTCACAACTTGAAATAGTACTCGGGTACAAATATGAACTGAATATAATTTTAAGCAGCACTTGAAGCTGTTATCTTCATTAACGTGTTCATATGATGTTAGATCCGATTAAGGACTGTGCATGGCAAAAAGCTGACATTAGTTTTAATTACTCATACTTAAAATAATTGAGCAGAGGCTTTTTAAAATCTCAGAAAAGTGTTTGGGCAAATCGTTGGCATGAGGTAAGGTCGTACTCACTCGATATCCGTCAGGGCCTGGTAGACCTTGGGGTCCGCGTAATCCAGAAATGCCCCGGTCACCATCTTGACCCCTTTTGCCTGGTTCGCCGGGCTGTCCAAGTTCCCCATCTTCTCCAGTTTCGCCTCTTCCTCCCGGTTCTCCCGACGGGCAGGCGGCGCATGGCGGTGCATTAGGACCTGCAGTTAATATTTAGGCAATATAAAATTATAACTACTTAAATTAATTTAGTAACGTAATCAATCTACGTGAACGAGTGCCTAACCTTTTTCGCCAGGCGGTCCCACGAGGCCAGGTGGTCCAGTCCTGCCGGGGTCGCCTCTATCCCCTGTGGGTCCACGAGGTCCAGGAAGGCCGACTGTGGGGGTGCCACGGTAGCCCTTCTCACCATAATCACCAGGCGGACCTGGATCACCCTTGGGGCCAACACGTCCAGGAGTTCCAGGAATGCCAGGTTCACCAACAGGACCGTACATTGGTGTGAGACCATCGGGGCCTCGTGGACCTTGTGGTCCCATGGGACCACGGTCTCCATCAGGTCCACGTCTTCCAGGGATTCCTAGATAAAACCAACAATGAACTCCATCAATTTCAGGAACGAGAGCGTCGTCATAGGTAGGAAGCGGAGGTTGAGCACTCACCAGGATCGCCTTTTACTCCCGGTATCCCTATCTCCCCGACTTCGCACATTCGACCTGGAGGGCCAGGACGTCCACGCGGGCCCATGTCACCTTTAATGCCCTTGAAACCAGTAGGACCTTGGCGTCCCGGGTAACCAAGGAAACCTTTCAGGCCAGGAGCGCCCATCTCGCCCTTACGTCCCTTCGGACCGACGCAATCACGGAAACTCTAACGGTGGATGCAAGAAAAGCGCAAAAATGTCGCCGTCGTTCCAAAAAACTTTAAATTGCTGAGTTCCCAAACGGTGGCAGACTGTCAAGGTGGGTATCTTCGACAGAAAGCTGATTGTACTTGTCTATCTCAAACTGATTGGCTGGTTAACCTCTCCCAGAACTTTTGATTGGTTCCCGTTCAAATCAAATTCTCATTGGTCACTGGTTCTTAGCAATCTGATTGGTTTATGGCAATCTATGAAATAATGCATCCACAAGTGATGGAAACTCACGCCCGGTCTGCCCTTGGGACCAACGAAACCGGGCAAGCCGTCGACACCCGGGGGACCGCGTTCTCCAGGCGGACCCGATGGACCGATGCGACCCATGTCACCGTCGAAACCGCGGTCGCCCTACAAAAATGTGAAAACAATGACCCTGACAGCCGCCCTCCACTCCACCGCAGTATTGGGCATGAAAGGGAGACTTACAGGTTCGCCCACTCTGCCAGGGTCACCGGTGTCGCCAACACTGCCCTAAAAGTCAAAGTAGTATGAATTTTTTCAAAAAAATAAAAATTTAAACATTGTACAAACAATCAACTCACGCGGTCGCCTTCTCTACCTGGAAGACCTTTTTCACCCATTGGACCTTGAGATCCTTCTGGTCCCTTTAATGTATAATTAAAACAAGTTCAGTTATCCAGTTATTAGACATAATTAAAGTCACCTTGTCACTACTTCCTTGTCATAATTTACGATTTAAAATTTGACTACTTTTAAATGTTATAAGTAGAGAGCAATTTGACGAAAGTTGCGGACCTACATAATTTATTGCACAAACTACGTTTAAAATAGTTCACATTCCTGTGGTCACTTTATAGCCACCAAGCACCAGCTGCCAAGCATTAGTTCCCTTATCGACATTTTCTCTAACTTAAATTTGAAGTTTAAGAAATATGTTGCCATGTTACCAATAACTTTAAAGGACTTTAAACTCACGTGAATCCCTTCAATACCTCTCTCACCGCGATCACCCTTGGGTCCACGAGGCCCCTATTAAGGGAATATAAAATTATGCAGCATGAAGCCTACTTAAATGCTTTTAAGTAGACAAAATTTTTGCGCACAATGTAGCCGGTTCGACCGCGGGGACCCGAGATCAGTTCGATGAGCTCACATGGCCGACCGTCACGGCCTGGGGGGCCTCGCTCACCCTGGTCACCTTTTTGACCTTCGATTGTGATTGTTGGTGCGTCTGGACCAGGAGGACCACGAGGACCTGTTGATCCTTTGTAGCCCTAAGTATAATTAAGACAAGCTGTAGGTTAAAAATTTGTGTTTATAACCTCCACTGCGAAAAAAATCAATGCTTCTTACCTTCGGACCTAGGGGTCCGCGTTCTCCCATTGGTCCGTCATAGCCCGGGGGCCCTCGAAATCCCTACAAGAGAACGCAAACTTCTCATTGGATAGAAAACTCAATTTAAAATATGTGCGCTTCCCCGTTATTAGTTTAAAGCATGGGATTCAGGAGAAATGCCGCAACAATTTTTGAAATAACCATTCAATTGAAAGTCAGGTTTGTACCCTAACTTTGAACTCTGGAGTTTGTGTGAGGCATTTAAGCACACGGTTTTTATCCAATCGGAACTGTCGTGATTACAATCTGGTCGATTGGTCGCTGCTAAATGAGATTCTATTCTCATTGGTTGCATCATCAGGTAACAGAAAAGGTTGTCATGATTAGTGAAATTTATGAATTTGTGTGTGAATGAATTTTTTAAAATATGTGATCGAGATTGACTTATTCACACTTGTAGATTCCATGCCCTGCCCTCATTCTTTGTGGTCAGTGGAAGCTTGAGAGATGTGCTTTCATGCGTAACTTGCTGTTAACTGCGCAAAAGTACGCACTTAAAATGTACTTTACCAGTCGAGCGACTTAATGCACACCAATTTTTTATAATTTGCATAAACCGCACAATTTAACCCGCCACTTAAACTGTGCTGCACTGAATGAACTAAAGTGGGTACGTTTCTGCACACCTCGGCTTTTTGTCTCACGTAAAGCTGGTAAAAAACGTGGATAGCTGCGTTTTTAATACATTTTTACAAAAAATGTTATTTTTTCCACGCTAACATTAAAAAACGGAGAGCTGACAGTGACTTACTGGTGGCCCCATGTAGCCGATGTCTCCGGGGATTCCCTAAATTTGAAAAAAAGGGTATTTCTAAATATGTGTTTAAAAGAGTACCACTATGGATGCTGATATATTACTGAAAACAGGCACCACCTAATAAGTAGACTATTGTTTTCCAACCTCGCACATCAGAGGCACCAGATTCATGGACTAGCCAATCAACGAACATTACAGCTGACTGCTTCATTGATGAGAAACAAGCCAATCAGAATCAGCCAAACTAAACGACAGCCAGTAATTTGAAGCTTTTAGAGCCTTTGGGACATGATCGACGGTTTCAAATTTTAAGTGGATTCGTGCACACCCACGCACAAAAGGGTGCCAAAACCTGGAACGGAAAACTTTCCCTAATTATCTCTGAAAATGGGCAATAAAAACCACCAGCGGTGAATGCGCAAATGGTGCTGATTCCAAGAGAAAAAAACCTTTTTCAAGACTAATTATCCGCGCAAGTACATGCAATTCTCCGGTGAAGCCACGAAAACGGAAAACCATAAATCACAAAACATAAAGTTCGCGAAAACCAATTATCTACTTAAATGATAATCAGTAGCTTACTGGGGGACCGGCAGGTCCGGCGTTGACGTAGCCAGGGAAACCCTTGGGACCCCGCGGACCACGATCACCTGGGGGTCCTTGAATGCCAGGGGGACCACTGGCTCCAGGGCTGCCATCCGGACCCTAGGCAAAAAATCGATTTTACCAATGCAAATTGTGTGCGTAGAGGAAGGAAGAAATGAAAGTGATTGGATTACCCGTGGCCCTTCGCAACCCGTGTCACCACGTTGACCCTTGGCCCCTCTTCTTCCCGGATGACCCTAAAATTAAAAAAAGGAAATTTTTAGTCAAACTTATCGAGAGAAATTATTCCATTTTCACCTTTACTCTCAAAATTTTCGATTTCAGTTACCCTCGGGACGGACAGTGATGATGAGATTTGGAATGTACCGAAACACATGATGGCATTCATCAGCTGCTTATTGGTCAGCAGTATGACAAACCAATCACAATTAATTACGCATTATTCTGCCGAAAATGATTAAAAACACGATATCTGAAACTCACCTGAGAGCCGTGGACGCCGGCATAGCCTGGTGGACCTTGAATACCCTGTCAAAAGAACAAAAAATGCAAATTACCGATTTTCGAGTTTGAGACAGGGTGTCTAATATCCTTATTTTTTGGGTCTCTTTAAGGTTTTCACAAATTCATTAATGGTTGTGGAAATGGCATTAATTTAAGGAAATTCTGTCAAAAATTTAGAATGAACGATTGTGGACATCCTTTATTTTTTTTTACTATTTACGACAATTTTCTTAAATAACAACCAAACGAAACGTTAAAGGAAGGCAATGTAATCAAATTTTCACAATATCAGAATGTTATTTTCACGCATGTTTAGTTTTAGTCTTCACCCCAGACTTCACTCTGATTGGCTGAAAATAAGCCAATCAAATTCACATAATTTTCTAAAAGGTACACCAATATGGATAATAGTGCTATGTAAAACAAGAGGTTTGTTTGAAAATTTTGGAAAACTTCAATTAGGCAAGACATACCGGTTCACCCTTTTGACCTTGAAGGCCCGGAGCTCCGGGGTAACCGCGGTCGCCCTGTTCTCCTGGCAAACCGGCGGGACCAACGTCGCCAGGCGGACCCCAAGAACCAATCGGACCGATCGGTCCCGGCGGACCCTACAAACACAAATTAATTATGGCGGTAAATACGAAACTTTAAGAGCGACTCCCCGCTCAGATTGAACAGGGCGAACCACAAATGTTGCCATGGCAACAGTACTCACAATATCTCTAACAGAACTAATGAACAATTCTTATCACAATATTCACTCCTAGCTGGAAGCTGTATAAAAAACCGAACAAATAAATTGAAGATAGTTTGGAAAATGCATAAATTTGAACATACCGGCATTCCTTGGATTCCAACACATCGACACTGATCTGGAGTGCATATTTGCTGGCACCTATTCGGATCGTTATCCCATGGTGCTTGCTACAATCCAGAACACAAATTTGCGTAAATAAAACTTGAACACGTTCTGTAGATTCCCCAGGCTTTAAGGTAAAAATCAGATTCCAGAATCACCAAGTGAACACGACTCGTTGTCTAAATTGATTTTATCGATCAATAAAATTCGACACATTTCACGCTCTGCGTCCACCAGGAATTATTTTTTGTTATGTCATCTAGACACGCTACTATGTAACCTTCATGAATATCATCAATTTTCGCTAAAATACTGATTTTAATTTCCTGTCAACTCCCGGATGCTGGTTTCACTTTTCCATATTTCAAAAAATTTAGACCAGTACAATTAATTAAAGTCTTAATTTGACTGTTGTTTATAAAACTGGACTTGTGTTAGCAGACTAAAGCAACGCAAAACAACAAAACGCTTAATAGACACCAAAAAATCTGGCACAGACATCGACAACAACTTACAGCTGACGCAGATTGGAGGAAGAGGAAGAACGTTAGAATAGAACTTGCAACTAGGAGGTTATAATACCTAAACAGCGATTGGAGAGTGGTTAGACGACAAATAACTGCCGGTGACATTCTGTGTGACAGGTGGCTGACAGCCATCGTCAAACGCATTTCTGTCAGTTCGTGTGGAGAACACAAAACACAAAAACTGGCGACTTGTTGGCTGCATAGGTATGATTGATATCTACATAATTTTTATTTTTGTTGCTTAGATATTAAAATGAAAGTTGCCAAATTTTACTAAAAAAATCTCAGAGTAATTGGTTCAACCAATGCCTTCAAAGTAAATTTTAACATTTAACTCAAAATATACTAAAAAGTCGGTAGTTTTGAAAGCTGCGCGATAGCTTGTTAAGCAATTTTAAAACCAGGAAATCGATTTCCGGGGGAGCGTTAGCAACTTATCTATCATGACTTCGTTTACCCCGTAAACCGGCGTGGTATCAGATGCTAGTGGCTGACCGCGTTACCACGTACATCGAAGATGCGGTCAAACGAGGTCAAACAGAAATGCGAGGTAGCTTCAGGTAGCTTCAGGCCTCGGCAGCGACTTGAATTACTACGTGAAGTTGCTTGACAGTTGCTTCGCATTTGGGTTGAAGAAGTCCAAATTATGCATGAAAAGTCTGCTTTCTGATTAACCCAGGAAAAATCTGTGGGGTAAAGTACCTACGAGCACACCGTTTTGTTTTACTCGTCTAACAAGATGACCTACAACCGAGATGTTGCGTTCTACATTTGAAAAGTGATTTCTGACCAATCGAAGGCGCTCGTCAGCAGGCGCAATTTTTAACATGAGATTGAAATGTCCTAACACCTAGTCAACTGAAATAACGTTTACCACGGAACAACTTATGCCTGCTATATTCCATCTGTACGAGCTGATTCACTGCTTCAAAAACGCTTGACTACTGATTTCTTAAAAAAACAATTTAAGTAGACTGTGCAATTTACACGGAAATCGCTACACGGATCCGCTCAGTTCTACACATTACAAACCTGAGCAAAAAGGCGTTGCAGTATTTCAGAAAAGAGATTAGCTCTAGACTCCTTGTCAACTCAGTTTTTTGGTACGTAGCAAGAAATCAGGGACAAGAGGGCATGAAAAAGCAACATGCACGTCTTTGCCCATTTTATAAATACAATAGAATGACGAAATCTACCGCAAACAATCAAGTCACACTTGAGATGTGCACCGATTATCTAATGAGATTTTGCAAGTACGTCTTCCAGCAGTGCTGGCCAATCAAGTTGCAGCAATTTACTATCCGGCCACTTAGCACGCTGCATTGGTCAACAGCTTCAAAATCTTGACGCAAAAAGTTACTAAGAAACCACAACAAATTTCGGTAATTGGTAGATAGTACAATTCTTGCATCCGCATAGTGAGTCACCCAAACTGTTGAATAATATCCCAAACCATTTCTGTCCTTGCATTTTTAAATGCAAGTAATTTGGCGGCAAAATTGAAGCTGCATCTCATTTAAATTAAACAAATCAGAACAGAAATATCTAAACCCTACTTTTTTTGCAATTAAATCGCAGATAAACTTGCCACAAGCGTTTGAGTGTTGGGCTATGCGTAGCGCAATTTTCAAGAGCTGCGAATAACTTGCATTTTAAACAATCAAAAGAGCGTTTTTAAATGATAGTTATGGAATTACTGGATTTTTTAGATATGCATCAGCAACACCACAAGATATCAGCCAATGACAGTTAAGTGAATGATTCAACAGATGTGAGTGACCTTGTGAATGATTTTGACGTCAAAACGACATAGTTTGCGTTTATGTGTAAATAGAATGGACACGATGGTTTTATTCTACAAGATTTACCGACAGTTTAAGATATTGTAATGTTATGTAAATTTATGCCAATTTGAGCTAATCAGAAAATTCCACAGAATCAGCACGATCACAATTCCTCTGGATCGCCTTGTAGCGAACTGGTCAACACAGATATGCAGGAATATATTTTGTTTTTAAAAAAATACCTGCACTGTTGTCATGTCTGTGCGTGGAGATAAATCATATCAATCTTGGTTGGCAAAAAAGCTTGTAATTGGTTACTACAGCACCTCATTTGTCAAATAAAGTTGCCATCTTATCCTCTGATCCAATGAGTCAGCAGACGTTATACGTTGTCATGGCTGCTGTACATACCGCGACCACCATGTTTAGTCAAAATTCGCACGCTAGCTGTGATACCTTGACCATAACAACGCCCGCGTCACTGCGTCTGAAGTGGACGTGTGCTTAAAGCGGACAGTGGCAATTCAGCCTTTAAAAAAATCACCGAACTTGAACAAACTGACAGTGGACACTGGTTGGTGCAAAAGCGCTAGGAGGCAGTTGATTAAAATAAGCGCATTATTACGTAGACTTCTGATTGGTTGACTAATTGGCGGTAGTTTCGACAACTCAGGTTGTCATTTCTCACTCCTCATAACGCGTCACTGACGGGACAACACTATGGAAATCTCATAATTATAGCCTCTAATTCCTCCATACGCTACTTTGGTGAATTCATTTTCGTGTGTTATTGGGTTTGGTGATAGGTTAAACGGTACTTCAAAAATATATTTTCAGTCAAATGTAAACTTTTTCTAACATGTTGATTGGTTGTGAAAATATATTCGTGTCACAAATTTATCCCAAATTTATTAGTAGGATAATCAGTCACTATTTATAAAATAAAATAAATTACCTGGCGTACAAAGTCGGAATTACAAAAAAGCCTACAAAATTTATTTATTCATTTACTAATAACGATTGCCAGACGCGATAAATTTCGATATCGATCAGATCTATAAGTGACCAAATAAGCTAGAAATATTAGATACCCACATGAAGTGATTATCCTGATTTTTAATATATTTGACGTTAAATCTATCGAATTCAAGACACGACTATGATCTTATTGTTTAAATTGAAAAACTGCCATCTTGTTTGCGAAGGTCACATGTTTTTTCAATAGCGTTAACAATTGCTAAAGCCACTAAAATGTGACACATTTAAAAGATTAGGAGACGGGCAAGGGGAAAGAATAACTTGCCGATTTTTCAGAGGGGAAATCCGATGAACGCGGATCCGTAGGGTTCCGCATTTTCCAGACCCCATACTCCACGCACAATGTCTTCCCAACTTGTGGAAGGTTCTGCCACGACAGCTGTGTGCGTGTGTGTGTGTGCGTGAGTGCTGACGCGCGAGTGGAAATTCGTGTGGATGGGCTTGCTGTGGCCCTAGGGTGTTCTCCCACATCCACCCACGGCGAGTGCAGCCGCATAAACACACAACCGCACACACCCTCGCATCCAATTGGTTCCCCGCCTGAGCCAATCAGCGTCGACTGTGTGGGAGATGTTATGCCAACCGATAGATGAAATGATAGGTGACAGTTTGTAGGATCGGGGGTGGTTGACCTTAAAGGGTCAGTTCGGTGGCTACTTGACATGCACCTAAAAGGGCCTCGCAGCACGTATCGACGATGCAGCGATTAGGCGATGAAAAAAGTTGGATATCAGCGCAACACTGCCGCAAAGAAGTGCAAAAACAACTCGAAAATATGCATGTTGGCTGCCATCGCAAACATAATAATTTACATTGCATAAAATGCATACTTGTTACACACCAAACGCCCGATTTGACTTCGCCCTTCAGCACACTTATTAAAAAAATTGTTCATATGGTCGTTAACCTTAAGGTTTGTGGGGTGGAGTCTGAGTAATTCGAAAAAAAATCACTTTTTTCCGACCAGAATGACCGTGGTTAATTGCGGTATTTCTTAGAACTGAACTTTTGTTTCACTTAATCAATTTAAAGGAAATTTGTTTTACTGAATTAACTATTAAAATCGCAGTCTGATTTACGCTGATTTCGAACCCGGTACAAGAACTGTTGTGTCCATGTGTGGGGGAAATCAACGAGCATCTGGCTAAAAAAAGAAATCACTGATTTGGAAATGATGTGCCACAATTGAGACGGTAAATTACGCAATATGGGAAACACAATTTACCGTGGGATGCTTGCATTGGCATGTAAACGATGTTTGCTGCCAAGTTACGTGGCCGCATGCAACAAAAGGCAGGCAAACGACCTCTGGGGAAGGCAAAAATGCATTTCGGTATTACACATCACATCAAAAATGTTGCACAAATGCAAAAAAGTGAATATTTGAACGCCAAAATGAAATGTTAGCAACGACGCCATTTTCACGAAATCAACCAACCAGGCGTTTACAATTGGTTCACACACAAAAAAACATATATTTGTGCACAAGTGTGAAATCTACGTCATCGCATTGGCAGAGGCTGACAAACAAACTTAATTTCTGTAAACTATTCATAAAATCCTCGCGATTTACACTCCGAATATCCAATGACGTCGATAAAATCACAAAACAAAATATTTGAAATTGACTTTTGC